ACCCCTCCCTCCTCCTTTCCACTCCAAGGACAATGCTTGGCTGTTTCCTCTCTCAGGTAGCACCCCTCCCCTGCCCCACCCTGGGATCAATACCTAAAGATGAGTTTCAGATCAAGTCTTGAGTTTTGCAAGGATAAAGCAACAAATTTCCCCCTGATGATTAAATCCTTTGATGATAAGCCCAATATTTTTCAGACTACCTCTAACAACTTTCAGCAAATGCAATGACGCTGAGAAAATTGGGAAGTCATCACTCTCTCTCCTCTAAGCACAAATCACTTCAGGGAAGGCCAAGGGATGAAGTGATGCTCAGGGCCAAGATGGCCCCCAGCTTCTACCACTAGCTCAGTTCCTTGTCTGGAACTTGCTATGTAGTATTCCCCAAACTTACAGTTTCTCCATCTGGAAATGGAGGAGTATCATGGTCCAGTAAGAAGTGTTGATGTGGAGAAAAAAGAAGCACAAGGAAGTACTCAGCCTCTAAAGTCACCACTCTCCTGCTTGCATGACTGCCCAGCACCATGTCTGCACAGGGGCTAAGAGCCAGGGCTGCAGGTCACACAGACTGGGTTGATGTCCCAACTCTGCTTCTACTCGTGTGTGCCTCTGAGCTGCACAGCTCACCTACAGATGTTGGCCATCAAACAGCCCCAGGAGCTGTAGGCAACCATGCTGTTCCAGCACTATGTTCACTGCTTGGAAAGTGATGTCTGTTTCTACTGAGATGGTTCAAGTATACGTTTAGACAGCTATGAAGCCATGACAGCTGAGGCCAGGGTGGGAATTGTGACAGGATGCTCAGACCCCTTTCAGGATTGAGGAGCAGTCACTGGAAATGCCTGAGAATGGTCCCTGTGGAATTTCTTCAGCAGAAAACCCAGGTCAAACCAGCTTCCTGTAGAGAGTAGGGGGAGGGATGAGATAAGGAGAAGTAGAAGGTGGGAAGGGTGGTGTTACATCCAGTGATAGATCATGTAGGCACAGAGCTGACTTCTTACCTCTCCTGGAGCAGGAAAAGGGCCTCCCTATTTCAGAAAGCATCCCAGACCAGTTTTGCCACAGTCTCCATTCAAAAGCACTTTGTAGTGAGCTTCCTGGAAGCTCAGCCCAGTACAGAGTTGTCAGGGATACCCTGCCTGGAGCAATTGCTCACACCTGTAATCCTAGCAGTCTGGGAGGCTAGGATCTGAGGATCGAGGTTCAAAGTCAGTATGGGCAGAATAGTCCATGGGATACCAATTAACCACCAAAAAGCCAGAAGCAGTTTTGAGTGAGAAAGCCACGTGAGATCATGAAGCTCGGTGTTCAAGCCCCAGTACCAGTACTAAACAACAACACCCCCACTCCCTCTCACACACAGACTTTTTAAAGGACTTTATCTTGGAATGCCTCAGGTAAGAATCTAAGTCCTGATACACACTTTAGGCCCTGGATTCCTCAGTGCCCATAATTTTAAAGGAAGAAGCTGAGATGGTTGAGGGCTGGGAAGGAAGCTCTGGTATAAGTGAGGCAGAGTTCAAACTCAAGCCCAAAAGAAAATTCCTCCTAGACTATTTTGAGGGGTTAGAAGGTATATTTGGCCTAAAGCTTCCACTTGTGCAGAAACAACACTGGAAACAGGGATGGAGGGGTTGGGGGGGGGGGGGTGGGGAGGGGCGAAGGTAGATCCCAAGTTTTTCTTCTAGAAACGTCTTGGCATGCCTTCCCCCTGATGCTTTATTTTTTGGTGGTATTTGTGGTGTGCGCCTCATACATTCTAAGCTGGCACTCTACCACTTGAGACACACCTCCGGTCCTACTTTTTTGGTCAGTTATTTTGGAGATCAAATCTGCCTGGCTGTCCTCAAACATTGTACAATCCTCTGGATCAGCCTGCCAAGTATCTAGGATTAAAAGCATGAGCCACTGATACCAGATTCTTTTTTTTTTTTTTTTTTTTTTTGTCGGTTGTGGGGCTTGAACTCTGGGCCTGGGCATTGTCCCTGAGCTTTTCAGCTCAAAGTGAGCGCTCTACCACCACTTCCAGTTTTCTGGCCGTTAACTGGAGATTAAGAGTTTCACAGACTTTCCTGCCCAGGCTGGCTTTGAACCACGATCTTCAGATCTCAGCCTCCTGAGTAGCTAGGATTACAGGCATGAGCCCTTGGCACCCAGCTTGACACCTGATTCTTCTATCATGTTTTAATAAGAGGCTCTATGTTTCTCCTCTTGTTCTAGGTTCCACAACCATATAGCTGCATTGCGCTGATCCTGTAACCAGGACAGGGGCCTTAATTTCTGGTAGAGCAATTGGATGTTTGCACTGGCCCTTCTTTGCTGGGGTTGGGGCAGGAATATGCACACATCAGGCTCTGCCTGCTTTCCTGTCCACAGTGTCCTGCAGAAGTCTGGATTCAGGAGAGCCTTCAAGAACGTCCTCAGGCTTCCCTGAGCACTGTGTAGTAGCTTCGACCTTTCTCTACCTCCTCCACACAGATGGGCCCCAACTCTAGCCTTCTTGCATTCCTCTCCTTTGGAAACTGAAAATAGGAGCAACCTTGTGTCCAGCAGTAGGGCTTTGGTTAACAGTAAGGGACAACTTATCCAGAAGTCTGCCACTGAGTAAGAATCTACCTCTGTCAGAGCCTAGTAGTGTGACCTCCACAAGCCTTCAGCCCTCTCAGGTTCCTTAGATGACAACAAACCTCCATCCCTAATCAGCTGTGAGGGTTGATGACAAAATGACACAGTAGAAGGTCTTAGCATAGCAGATCAAAAACACTTCTTTCCATTGATCATCAAAAAAAGGAAGCCACAGGCCTGGGGCTGGAGTTCAGTGGTGCAACCTATGCTCAGCAGCGAGAAGCCCAGAATCAGATCACCAACACAAGGAAAGGAAGTAAAGAAGGGAGGGTGAGGGAAGAAAGGAAGGGAAGACCGCTAATACTGCTTGAATGCTGCTCCAAAATCATCTACAATTATGATTTCTAACAGTAAAGACTGAATGCTACATAGATGGGCACTACAACCCTGAAAAATAAAGGATGAAAATGTTCTTCTTACCAAACCCTTCCCATCTGGCCATAACACAGAAAGAACAGTATTTGGAAGGCAGTCTAAGGGTTGAGGCTGTGCTGGGATATGTAAGTTACAATCCCTGAACCTGGGTTTATCACACCCACAAAACAGAAGGGACAGTCATAACGGTAACAAGAGCTAACCCTGATGCATAATTGACACTCAGCATTCCACCCCAACAGTCCCAGTAAGGAGGTACTACTATTATTCCCATTTTACACATGAATAAACCCAGACATAAAAAAGGTGCTTTCGCCCAACGTCATACAACCTTCCAATGGCTGCTGAGAAGGTCAACTTAGAAGATGCAACAAGGAAGTTGCACTTCTGCTATTGCTTTGTTTTTTTTTTGGTCGGTCATAGTACTTGAACTCAGGGCTTGAGCTCTTTTGCTCAAGGCTAGTGCTCTACTATGTTGAGCCACAACACCACTTCTGGTTTTCTAGTGGTTAATTAGAGATTAAGAGTCTCACAGAATTCTCTGCCTGGGCTGGCTTGGAACCATGATCCTCAGATCTCAGCTTCCTGAGTACCTAGGATTACAATACATAGACCACCATGCTTGGCTTGGTACTTTGGAAACCATAATGTGGACAATGGCCAAGGACATTCACAAATTTCCCATCACAGCATTACCTTCCTCCTCTCCCTCTAAAGCAACTTGGTGGACACAACCAGATATTTGAAATTTGCATGCTTTTCCTCTCTTTGTCTTTCCCTACTCCTCACCCCTACCCCTTCCCATCTCTTCCCTCCATAAACACTCGCCACCCCTGTAGGCCACCCAATTCTCATTTTCCCATCTTGAGGTCACTGTAGATGGGCACGAGATGCTTGGTGACCGGGCACAATCAGGACACACCTGTCCTTCTCCCACTCTGCCAGCCAAACCCCGACATCCCCCTTCATTGCTTCCTCCCCTTTGCTTATTAGCTGCCTTCTTCAAACAGGAAAGATGCACAGTCAATGCTGGGTAACTGCTTCTAATCATAGGTGATAGCAAGAAAGCAAACAACGAGAGAAACATCTAAATGCAATCCAAGTGGCAAGGAAACATAGCTCACTGGGCTCACTAGCAGCTCCCTACCACCTTCAGAAAAATGCCCTACACCCTTTCCTACCCCCACACCTTAGCTTTCTGAGGCTCCACTCTCATTAACACTCTGTTAATAGGGACCCAAGAAACCTAATGCTCCTGGAGAACAGAAGAATGGAATGCTATGTCATAATCTTCTTTGACTCTACTACCTCTAGGGAAGATTTTCTAGATTCTTTCAATTTTATTTTTCAAGACAATAATTTTAACATGTTCTGTTGGGAGGGGAGGTCAGGGCCCCCTTTGACAAGTTCAATGCTAGGGATCCTTTCCCAAGGAGAGCTCGACCACACAACATTTTATAAGTCTGGGATCCCCGATTGGCATCCATTTTCTTTAACATGAATAGGACAGGAGGAACCAAGAGAGTCGACAAATCAGTACACTTGTCCCTACACATTCTGAAGTACCACAAGGGACTGCTCCATCTCTAACTGCTGTACTCAGCAAACTAACAACACCAGGTTCTCTCTCTCTAGATAGTCTGCATCTAAACTACCTTCATCAGTACAAATTGAGGAATTACTACAAATAATTTCCACCACAATCACTTAGCGCTGAAGTTAACAAAGAATTAAGAAAGTCTGGATTAGAAATGTGTGTGTTGAGTGTGGCTGTATCCAGTCAGAGTTCCCAAGCCAAAAATGGATGGGGGTTTTAATGATCTGTATCTGGATTCTCCGTGCTAAGGTGGCTGTCCATTAATGGAGACCTTCAACAGATGGCCACCAGTTCCTGCTTGCTTTGGGATTCTTCCTGGAATCCTAGTTAGTGGGACTGGACATGAGCAGTGACAGAGGCCAGCAAGAGAGTGTAGGGACAACTTTCTCAAGCTGGGGCATCTTACCTCTGTGCCTGTTGGTGGTTTTATCAAACATCAGCATCGCATCCTCCACCTGCAAAATACAAAAGAGAGACAGCTTTAGGGATTTCCACAAAACGCATACAACATTATAAACAGTGGGGGGTGGAAGTGGTAGTTTCCACTATAGGTGTAATAGTGGTTCCCTAAAGAAGATTTGAAAAAAAAAAAAAGAAAAAAAGAATGTAATTGTGCATCTTTCTGCCTAGTACTATAGCTAACACATGGTATATTTTCCTTTATTATTTACTTTAAAAAGTATCTGATTATTTTAATATGGCTTACAGTGTATTGTATATAGAATTCTCTTCGTTTCATGCTTTAACAAGTAACGTTAAACTATCTTGAATACTGCAAACTTATTACAGCTTACTTACTATATCATTATTTTCTTTTTCTTTTCTCTTTTTTTCTTTTGGTGGGTCCTGGGGCTTGAATTCAGGGCCTGGGTGCTGTCCCTGAGCTTTATTGCCACTTGAGCCACAGCTCCACTTCCACCTTTGGGGGTAATTAATAATTAGAGATAAGAGTCTCACAGTGTTTTCTGCTAAGGCTGGCTTTGAACCAAGATTTTCAGATCTCAGCCTCCTGAGTAGCTAGGATTACAGGGGTAAGCCACAGCTCTTTTTTTCTTTTTGTGGTACTGGTGTGTTTGAATTCAGGGCCCTGTGCTTGTTCAGCTTGCTTGATCGCTTGGGTTCTATCCCTTGAGAACTCCAGCCCTGATTTTTTGCTGGTTATTTTAGAGACAGGGTCTCACAGGCTTTTCTGCATAAACTTTTCAAACTATGATTTTCTAGATCTCAGCCTTTTGAGTAGCAAGAAGTATAGGCCTGAGTCACCTGCACCCTACTATGAATACTATCCTGATCACAGCATGATTTCATAGGGCAAGAAGCTTAGTTATTTCCCTCTGATGATTCTTTACATTGTTTCCAGTTATCAATGAGACTTCAACTTAACTGTTACGGGACAGACTATGCTCCCTAAAATTCATATACTGAAATCCTGATTCCCCAATACTGTGTAGATACTTTTATTGGGGGGGGGGGCTGGTTATGTGGCTTGAACTCAGGGCTGGGCTCTGTCCCTGAGCTCTTTTGCTCAAGGCTAGTGCTCTACTACTTTGAGCCACAGTGCCACTTCTGGTTTTCAGTGGTTAATTGGAGTTAAGAGTCTGACTGTATTTCGAGGGAGATAATTAGGGTGAAGAAGACAGTCACATTCAGAAGATAAGTCACCTACAAGCCAAGGATAGACAGGCCTCAGCAGAAACCAACTGTACTGTATTGGATTCTAGCTTCCAGAATTATGAAAAAATAGACTTCTGTTGTTGGAACTACTCTGTGGTACTTACTATGGCAGCTATGGCAAACAAATGTACTGATCCTAGGACCTTTGCCAAACCAACAAAGAGAAGAAAATACCAAGAACAATTTCTGTCTGCCCTTAAACCCACAATGATTCTGATGTTTCTAGCATCTTGCAATCACTTTGGGAGTTTCTAACAATAAGATTTCAGGAGTCACACTTGATTGGCAAGTAGATTTCAGAAACTCAATACTTAATGAACCACGTCTGCCTCAGAATCCATTCCTTTTGTTTTAAATCAAATTCTTTATTCCACACAGTATCTATTTAGCCTAGGTATTTGTCTTAACTCATCAGCTATTTAGCTAAAGTACCTGGTCTGCTCTTGTGAGCAGCCTGCTCTTGACTGGCAGCAGAAATACAACCCAACTTATGTGGTTATGGGTGGAAAAGTGTCAGCCAGAGAGCTCTGTCCTGGGAGCATTTTCCCACATGTGGATGTAGCTAGGAAGGACTGAGAATCATTGATTTGTGCTCAAAGGCTCATAAATGAGCCTGGAGGCTTGAGCTAAGCCAGCTGAGAAAAGGAATCCCAGGCTATTCACTCTTCACTCCTCCCAGACTATGAGCTGCAACTTAGGAGAAGACACTGGGAGAAGCAAGAAAACAAGGTTTAAAACAGCGCCTACGGACAACTCAAATCTATTTTTCTAGATGCTATCAGATATAATGTAGAGAAGAGCAAAAAGTCCAGGTAAGGATGGAAGAAAGGGTAGGCAAGGCCATCACCAATCTTGAAGGGACTTGGCCTAGCTTAAAAAACTCCTGGAGACAGGGCCCCCTTTTGTTGCTAAGCAACCAAGCCTGAACAAACAGGCTCCTGAGGCCTTCCCCTTCTGGTCCCCACTCCTGTAGTCATGTGCAGGGGATGGGGGTAGGAGGGAGAATGGCCTTGCTTGGTAACTCCTCCCCCAGTCAGGGTGCTGCCCTCATTCTCTCAGGCACCAGCTGGCAGGAGCAGGCGCTGATACTTTGCAGATCACTTGAGTGGGTTCCTTCTCCTGGCCCCTCCCAGATGCCCATGCCTGGCAGGCTTGAAGAGCCCCCCAGGCACCTGCTGAGGCCATACACACAACAGCCGTTCTGCCTCCCATGCACCACTCAAGCAAAACCACCATAAGATCAACCGGTGTGTTTGCACACAGAGTAGTCACACTAGAGCATATGGCATCCTAGACTCAGACCCTGGGATGAGATATGAATCCTGATGCCCAGGGTGCATGTGTGCGTGCGCGCGCGCGCGCGTGTGTGTGTGTGTTGGGGGTGAGACCTGCTGGGACAGTGAAGGTAAATGTGACATCTGCTGCTTCACACCCATCTCCATGTTCTCTGAATGAATGCCAAGTCCTTATTTTGAGCTGAAAATGCCTAACAGTAAGGAAAACAGCTTCCCTTCTGTGTTGGCCATGTTTTGGTACTGAGAATCAGATCCCCTTAGGAAATAAATACTTTGAATTTTTTTAACAAAAAAAAATGCATTTTCCAAACTCCTTTTCAGCAGTGAGTAATTGGCTGCTTTCTTACAAAGCCTCCAACACTCACTCTACCCTGGCGATCGTGGGGGAGGATCGCAGTGTGTTTAGGGGGCAACTATTGTCCTAAAGAATAGAGAGCTCTTTCCTCTGTAGTCCAGCTGTACTATGGGACTTGCAAAGACCTCCTGAATAGTGTCAGGGCAAAAGAAAAAAAAAATTCTATTAACACTTTACAAAATGCAACATCTAAGAAGTAGCTAGAGAGGAAAGAGAAAGGGGAAAAAAATCAATATGGATAAGTCCCAGTGCTGGTGGGGTGAAAACTTTTCAGCGGCTGCAAAACACTTATTAATTCAGAGAAGCCATCAATGCGATGGAAATCTGGCAGAACAGCAAGAGCTGAAACTAGGAGAATTTGAATATACAAAGACTGAATAGAATGAAAAACACGGGCCTCACATACGGGCCTGTTTCTCACGGTTCTGTGTGAATCAAACAGAAGCAGCTTGTGTGAGTCTCCATTAAGGGGAAAAAAGGGGCACAGTTGAGGTAACTGGTAATAGCCCAGGAGCCAGCAAACCCATAACAATCTCAGTCACTCTGTCTCACATGAGTGCACACGCAAACACCCTTGTGAAACCCAGGTAAACGAGATGGCTGAACAGTTACCAACATTAACACACAGGCCAGCTCACATTCAAGGTCTAGGATAGCACAGAGGGGTAGGAGGGTAACAAACACCATTCACTTGTTAAATACTCCCAGAGAAAACATGCTCTTCCCTGTGATTAACACTGCCCTTTAGTTTTCTGGATACTGTCTTCACATTGCCACCTTATAGGTTTCATTGTACCAGGTGTGACACCAGTAAGCCTAGTGGTCTTGTGAGCCTCCTAAGGGCCAGAGGAGGACAGGGATGTGTGAACCTCAGCCTGCTTTGTCCCACAGGAGCCTGGTCTTCTGGAGAGACAAAATTATTCCAACCTTGAGACACTTTATAATGACCAAAGCAGGTTGACAAGGAGCCCTAGTGTCCTTAACAGTGTCTTCCAGAATGAAAATATGAGGTCAACTATCTTTCAGGTGAATGGCTGGGAATGGGATACCCTGGTCTTTGCCCTGACACCAGCAGGGCCTAAGCACCCGAATATTTCAAACTCTGGCAAGGTATAAACTAGGCATATACAGTAGGGTGTGAGTCAAGGGTAAAAGGAGCCACACTGCTAGTCTTGGGGCCACTAGTGTTGGAAAAGGCTTTTCAACATCGTCAACCAGCAGCTTTACTATCCCATTCATCTTCTTTCCACCTCTACCTCTCAGAATCCAGTTCAATAGCATCTGTGTTTCCAACTTCTCCCAGGTGCTGCTAATGCAGCTAGTGGATGGTGGCCCCTTCTTTCTCTGTTCTACTCTGAGAGAGAAACAAGACAAAAAATAAAGACACTAGACAGAGCTGGCTCCCTCTAACATGCATTTGCTCTTCAACACACAGAACAAAACCTCTTTTCTGGATGACCCACTGCAGTGTGGTGATCCCTTTTCTTTGTTCCTCACTTCTCTTGGATAGTTATATTTTAACATCTTAAAAATGATGGTGGAGCTGGGTGCTAGGGACTCACACTCGTGATCCTAGATACTCAGGAGGCTGAGATCTGAGGATCGTGGTTCGAAGCTAACCTGGACAAGAAAGTTTGTGAGAATTTCATCTCCATCTAACCAGCAAAAAGGGTGGAGCCTAGGCCTTGAACTCTAGCACATGTGCGTGTGCGCATGCACACAATCAAACACAATCACACACACACACACACACACACACACACACACACACACACACACACAGATGGTAGGACCCATGAAGGAAAAGATGACAAGAAAGACTTAGCCAAGCAGCCCCTGCACCCAAGACAGATTCACATTCTACTTTGATGATCAACTTTCCTTCTAACAGATAAGCTCCTGTTAATGTCTGTACCATGTAGCCAACCGATCTTGATTAGGAAATTGAGCTAATGGCAATTGTATTTACTTTTATGCAACCTGTATTTATTAGTCATTCCCTACTTACAAAGCATCAACCTAAGTACAAATAAGAGGCAAATCACACAGTTCTATGGGAGACTGATTCTATTGATGGCCTACATACTTTACTCTGTAATTCTGCAATTTCTCTCCCCATCCCTTGCATCTG